GCTAATCCAAATGTGGTAGGTGCTGGGTTAGGTGGAATTCCGGGGGGGGGGGGGGTTGGTGGCTTTGGCGAGGCATCCTTGTGGGGTGGCAGGGGGAGAGCGGTGGGACGGGATTTTTTTTTTTTTTAACTGGTGTTGCTTCTTGCGGTCACTATAGTTTCTGCGGGATCGGGGTGAGAGTCTGTCCTGGATTGGGACAGAGTATAGGAGTAATCGAGGGGGTGGGTTTTCGAGAGTGGGGGCAAGTTTCTATGGGAGTGAGCAGGGGGAGGAGGGTGGGATTGGTGGATCAACTGGAGAGGCTATGGGAGCTGGGTTATCACAATGAAGACAGGAGATTCAAGGTAGCGGGACTGGAGCGAAAGAGTTAGAATCGGTTGGTTGTGAGGGGGGAGTGAGGGTTCAGGTGCCAGATTGGTGCGGGCATGGGGCAGGTCTCGGAGCGAGGGAATTATAGTGTTCGGATTTTAGTAAGTTAGGGAGGGGGGGGGGAGTAGGGGGGCGACCCTGTTTGAAACCAGGTGGTAGGGCTGGGTTAGCTATTAGAATTGGTGAGACGGGAGTATTTGCTGGTTAGAATGGCAGGGGCTGGGTAGGGCTCGATGGGGGGTGGAGGTTAGGATTTGGGCGAGCAGAGAACAGAAAAAGAGAGGTGTCGGGGTTGAAGACCAATGGGGTGTTAGAAAAGTCGTCCTCAAAGTGTCATCTTACGAGTGCAGTCGTCGTCCTTATTGCAAATAGTGTGTGTCTTGTTTTTTCTTGAAATAGGCGTGGTTCACTAGTCCTCGCTTGTCTTGTCAATGTCAATGTCATGATGATGTCGATTGTCGGGATTCCTCTACCCATCCGAATCCTGAAGTCCTGTGGGGAGGGCCAGTGATCGCCCAGAATCTACTATTTTTACAGCCTTTCCCCCTATGTCCAGGAATCCGAGCGGAGACAGGAGACAAGATGCCTAGCTGCTGCCGGTGTTAGCAGGCGCGCGCGCCCGGCGCTCACGTTTAGGATCCACTCCACGTACCGACAGGGCTATGAAGTGCCCTTTCCTCTTCGAGTGGTGGAGGGCGTCGGCGTTGCTCGTCGTGATCGAGGAAACAAAGTTTGAATGATGGCGTGAAGCCAGTGAACCGGCTGTGGGCGGGAGCGGCGTGGGCCGCCGGTGCAAAAAACTTAGCGCTCGTCGTAGCGCTAACCGAGAGGCGCAGGCACGAAAAACCTTACCGATCTGGTATTTCATTCATCTAGTTCCATATGGATGCAAACTCAGGTCTGTTTTATCAACAGTTCATGGGTGCACCAACTGGGCTAGGCCCATTGGCAAAGCCACATTTCATCCACTTACCTTCTGTTCATCTGTACGGAACCTTGACCATTGTGTTCAGATTTTGTTTTCTTCGCTCCTCCTTTTCAGAACGGGGGTAGCCCCTAATATTACTGTATTCGTCCAATTCCATGATGATCAAACTCATGATATCTTTTCCAGCCGGTAGAGCTGTACAGACCATGTGTGGATGTTGACTTCATTCAGTAATAAGAGGTCTATGTGTGCTCCATTGCAGGATCGCTGTCGGAGGCCTGAGAGGAGCAGTACTGTTTGATGTCCGTGTTATTCAGCAGGAGGGGCTTGGGTTGATGCAGCATGCGCAGAGGACAATGCTCCCACACGGGAAAATGAGTCTTTCCCCCGGGATGGTTGCTGGGATTGGCTTTCCAGCATCAATCAACAGTTCTTCAATGCAAGGCTTTCAGGCAGCAGACATTTTGGCACGGGATATGGTGCGAACTTTTCCTTGAAAGAAGGCCATTGCATTCCAGTCCTGGAGACAGAATGCAATGGGTTTCATTCCCATCGTATTGTACGTACAGTGTATGACTACAACACCAGAATGCAATGGCATGACTGTATTTGGGTGTTGTAGCCCATTGCATGGCGTTACCTTCTTTCCCCCATATAGCCTGTACTACCTTCTTTCCCCAACACAATGCCCCATCATCATTTATTTTATTTTATTTTATTTTATTTATTTATTTTTATTATTATTTTCCCCATCATCATGACTGTATTTCAATCGGGGAAGAGAGATGAGATTTGACTCCTCCTTTCCTGGATCCCCCTGCCTCCTGACAAAGAGAGAGAGAGAGAGAGAGAGAGAGAGAGAGAGAGAGAGAGAGAGAGAGAATGAGAGAGAGAGAGAGAGGGAGAGACCAGAGTCGACTCCTTTCCTGGATCCCCATCATCACGTCGTTGATCCCTGCCTCGTCCTGATCCGGCTCCTCGGGTGTGTGTGTCTCTGATCCTATCCTATGACCTCGACCGTCAAGGACCCCATGTCATCCGTGGTACACACGGCCCGTACGTGACCAATCCGACCCTCACTCATGGCTGCTTCCTTGGCTCATGGAGCTTTCATTCATGTCGGCTAGTCGCATTCCTGCCATTCATGCAAATCAGAATAAGTCCAGTGCAAGGGGAGGCGGGAGGGAAGACAACATGCAAGAACACGAACCAGGCAAACAAAAAAAATACAAGTCCCAAAAAAGAAGAAGAACGAAAAAAAATAAAAGCAGATGATGATAGATTGTTTCGTCGGAGTTGCACCCACTCATCCGGAGGCTGAACCCTCGACAATCTGCGGAATCCCCGTATTTGATGGTTTGCGTCATGAACCCTGTGACCCATGTTGAAGGCAGACTGTCCCCAAGCGGGACATAGCAGCGGGCAGCAACCCTGTGGAGCACCAGGCAACACAGTAGAGGCAGCCCAACTGCTTATCACCAAAGACGACTGCAAGGAACGACAGGGCAAGCGGACGAGCAGCTGGGCAACCGTGCGGTGAAGCACAAGGCAACATCAGCAAGGCGACCAGACTACAAGGCACGCAAGCAAGTAAAGGACGCGGAAGGCCAACAGGGCAAGCAGACGAGCAGCTCGGCAACCGTGCAGTGAAGCACAAGGCACCACCAACAAGGCAACCAAACTACAAGGCATGCACGCAAAGGACACTGAAGGCCGACAGGGCACACGGACAAGCAGCTCAGCAACCGTGCAGCGAAGCGCGAGGCACCGCCACAAGGCTACCAAACCACAAGGCACGCGAGCAAAAGACACAGGAGGCACGACCCGCGGGTAGGCGGTAAGGCAGCAGAGCAGCGAGGACGACCTGCAAAGCAAGCGGCACGGGCAGCAAGACCGCGGCAGAGCGCAGACAAGACAGTCTACACATCCAACATGGAGCAAAGCAGCACATGACCTACTCACATCACGATAGAATCCCGCAGACTGTTGGTTCCCACCAACCGCTGAGCCAGGGGGACACTCCGACGACCGTCTGTCATCACTGACAGGCAACATAGACGTCCCAAACCGAGGGGCCCCCCTAAGAGTACAGTTGGCACTCCAAAAGAGGAACCACCGACTGTTTGGCACTGCTAGAGGGTGCTCGGCTAGAGACACAAAAAAATAGGAGAAAGAGGAAAAACAAGCATAAATAGGAGAAAGAGGAAAAACAAGCATACCTAAAACTGATTTTGTGTGTGTGTGTGTGTGTGTGTGTGTGTGTGTGTGTGTGTGTGTGTGTGAGAGAGAGAGAGAGAGCAGAGTTGACTCCTGTCCTGGATCCCCATCATCACGTCGTCGATCCCCGCCTCGTCCCAATCCAGCTCACACACACACACACACACACACACACACACACACACACACACACACA